TCAAGTTGACCTGGACAATGCCTTTAAGCTTACATTGATAGGTAGGCTAAACAAACTTTTGGTAAAAAATGTTAAACATATAGATGACATGTCAATTTTGTTGACACATGGCAGGAGGTTTCTCTCTTCTATGAAGTTTCTAACGAATTGGTACAAGGAAAGAAGCAATATCCTTTATAGGAATGGGTCCGGATAACGGAAAACAAAAATTATACCAAATCATCTCGATACCTCAATAACCGTCTTGCCTAAAAGTGTTCGCTTCTGTTTAAGAACAGGAATATCGGTTTTTCTCAAAGCCGTCAAAAACGTCAAAATTTACCAGCTGGTTTCGAGATTCTCTTGTTGGATACGCTATAATTATAACCGGGTTGCTTTATCAGTCGATTAGCTCGAACCTGTTCAAAGTAGTTTGGATTCTGGTTATCAAAATGGTCGTATGGCTGAAGAAAATACATTTTCTTGTAGGTTGCGCTTAAGCGGTTGTTATGGCCCTGAAAATCATTGGTAAGCTGTGACTGACAGAGTTGTTTAGTCAAGGAAACAACAGCAACAACCAAAGCGATACCTTATCAGGTGGAGGTACAAGACCATGAGGAGGCCTGCCTAAAAATACCTTCTTGTTGTGCTTCCAGTCCGGAAAAGTCTGGAAAAAATGAGGTTAGTCCAAAAAATTTATACAATCAAAAGGTAACTACATTGATCACCTTTGCAGTGGAGAATTTCTTCACGAAAGGTTTCCGTTGTTCTGGCTTCAGCAAGGCTTGTGCCTGCGGTTTTGTCCACGCTTTCATTTGAGCTTCTTAAGCAGTCATTCGATTTCAGCAACACTGGTCAAGTTTGGAAATAAGCACCATCTTTCTCTTTTATTCTGCTTTTCAGCCACTTATCAAGGTTCCTCTCAATCAAAAGACGAACTTCTTTCAAGCCAGGTTTGTCATTATCGGAAGGTGGGTACATATCCGCACAATGGGCGGTCCCTAAATTCTAATTTTCATAAGAGTCTTTCCGATCCGTTACGACAGACCATTTACTAGGTACCAAACGACTGATATGTCGTTAGAAGTATATTTGCCCAATGCATGCCAAGGATCGACGGATCCATTGGGAATGACAACATTTGTGCCCTAAAAATCAGAAGGACAGAATTTCGCACTACTTGTTATCTTTACTATAATAAACTGTTGCAAGGTTTCAAGACGAATATATGAATTTCTCATAGGTGTTAGTTGTGTTTGTAAAAAGTTCGTGTGTGACTCAATATACAATACTTTGATAAAAATAACACGGTGCATTCAAAGTATGTACACACTGTTCAATGGCTAACCTTCGTTATCTCTCTTTTCGATGAGTCTTTTGCCAATTTTTATGTTCCACTAGCCGGCGTACCCGGTCCAGACCGGACCTGTGCTAAACTGGCCCGGAATGCACCCTCGTTGTAGCATTTTCAGTCGAGAGATATTTCATCCCCG